ATGGTTGAAACTAGGATCATATAATATTTTTAGAATTTACATAAACTGATTCAAACCTACAATAGACACGAATCAAGCCTCAATTCAGGAATCGAGTTCATATCAAACCACTAATTTTGCCAATCCTATTCAATGCAACAAGTTAGCTAGTGGAAAAAATTTACACAGGGTACACCAAAAATTAATTAATTAATTAAAAAATATAGTGAAATATTTTTTTTGTTTTTTACTACAAAATTAGTGATATTCTCGTCTGTCATATGGTTTCCACCAACGGCACCCTATTACCCGTTGGCTCATTACAGTCGACCCCAGGGGCGAACGCAGAAGTTTAAATTTAGAGAGGCACAATTGAACTTGTAAAGAAATTAGGAGAAATTTTACAATCGAAAATTTACGTCCAAACAATTCATACCCCATGATCCCCCCCCCCCCCCGGTCTGCCCCTAGTCGACCCTCGCCCCTTGTATTGTTGAGATATGTGCTAGTTATAAACATTTGATTATATTTAATGATATTTGTGAAATTATTTCAGTATATTTTGCAGGCATTATTAGATGTTTTATAAATATTAGAAATTCGTTAATTATTTATATGTAACTTTATATATTGTACATTAAGCGTTATGTATATGAAGATAATATTTAAATGAAAATAATTTAAATTTGTCCGTGATTGAAATTAAAGTAAGGATATTTACTAGTGCAGTTCATTACGTTCTGAATGAAATCATCTTATCCGGATTGTTAATAATGTGATTATTGGAATGAAAGTGCTTTATATATAATTTGATTATATAGGATAGGAACGCGATTAACAATATCTCTAGTAAAATTTGTTTTCACATAGAGTATTCAATTTTGATCCATGATGGTCATATTTGGATCGACCTTAATTCTGAGTAATTAATAGACTCATATTTATTAAGATGTGTTTTTTGATGTGTCAAGTAATGACACAAATTAATAATGTCAAATTCTTGGGACATTGGAAATATAATGAGATAAATAGTCGAGAATATAATACACAAGAAGGAATCTATTCCTCTGTAGAAAAATAGATAGATGGTTCCCATAGTGTTGATTCAGGACATGAATAATAAGAGCGCTCAATTTTGTGATTAGATCATAAAATATATTATTCATTAGAGAATCAATGAGACTCATGGAGAAAGATATAATTAAAGAGGTTTAAGGATAAATATCTAACTTTAATTATGAACCGTTATGGATGACTGATCTATATGAAATGACTATACAATTCAAATTTCTTGAATATAATTTGTTTTATAATTTTAAGAGTGCAATTCCAAATTTTTAGAGGAATAATTTGGAATTAATAATTTTGACATAGTAATTAAAGTGTTATTTAATTGTCATCATTATTGGAGCTTAAAATTATAATGTTCATAGTTCCTCTCGTCGGCTCCGTTAAAATTGTAGAAAAATGCTATTAATCACCAGTGGGGATGCATCCCCAATCTATGTGGATGTAAATGATTGGTTAAATGATAGGTGAAATTAGATGACTTATTTAATTTCACATATCATTTAATGTCACATTAACGCCACATAAACTGGGGATGTATCTCCAGTGTGGATGAATAGCATTTCTTTTGATCTATTCCCACTTGCACTTCAACTGGTGAGTGTGCAAGAAACTGTATGTCATTACCAAACTTCCATCCATTCTTTTTAGAACAAATCTTTCAACCAAGGCATAGCAACCAAACTCTTTCCAACCCCAACTTTCTTTAAATTCTTCGACTCTGTTAATCTTTACTTGCCGGCTTTCCCCATCTTGCCATCCACCCCTCTTTTGCTCCCATTTCATTCTTTGAATGATTTCCATTCTCAACCCAATGCTCGTTTCCACGCCATTGTGGAAACTTCTAAACCACATCACCCCAGCAACAACGTTGTTCTCATTCCACACAGCTTTGTTTCCATCAATAAAAGCCTCTTCATTTTCGAGAGGAACATCGATTAGAACTGAATTTCCTTGATTCTTTTCGTTCTTGCATGTGAAAATCTGCTCCCATCTTTGCTCAAGTGTCATCTCGTAATACGTTGATCTTTTCACCTGATCTTTCAATGTTCCTTCCTTGATAAACATGAAGGGACAATACCATTTCCCAACACCAATGGCATGAGAACTCTTACACGATAAAGGGAAATTAAATTCTGGAAGACGAGCACGAAGTTCGGAGTTAAGACCAAGTGCTTCGTCTAACTTGAAGTGTTTGGGAGTCTTGGTGTAAATTGACCATCCTTTTCTTCTCAAGAAACGTGGGGGAAAACCGTCAGGGCCGACAGATTTCGCAAAGAAGTAACCCCTACCGGTGCATAGAGTTTCATGTGGACAAATCTCAATTTGCTGATAATTGTTGTTGGGATCCAATTCCGTCGGTTTTAGATCTTTAATGCAGCGACAGAAACAACAGGTGGACATGTCTTCCTCCCTCGAGCAAGTGTATGCTTCCCTGAAAAGATAATTCGACAAAATTTAGGCAAATCCCACAAAATACTCCAAATGTTTACTCGGATGATAAGATAATGTTCAATACAAATGGTTTTTTTTTGGCAAGATGTCCATATATATCTCACTAACAAATAAGTTTAATGCTGTGCTGGTATGAAACCTTGTATTTTTACATATGTAAATCATCAATTTTGTGTTTCAGTCAAGTTGGGTGTACTTTTTAGTCTAAATTGTTTCTTGGACTGTCAATATTTTCTGAAAAACCTCACACAAAGTTGTTTCCTCCATAAACAATCTATTTTGTTGTATTAATTAGTAGACTTTAAAACAATTAAATTTAAAATAACAAAGCATTTTCAAGTTCATCAAACAAATTATAAGATTAGCACTGAGAGGTTATACACATACCCTTTATGCTTCCCATGTGATTTGACGGCATAGTAGCGATTGGAAGACACTGCTTGATTGAGAACTGGAATCAAGAAAACTGGGTCATGAGAAACATGGCTGTGCTCACCAGAACTTTGTTCATAGCGGACAGTCAATTCCTTGTTCTGAGGGAATGGTAGGTTCTTGAGAGTTCTATTCTTGCACAAGCCAAAACAAGAATAAGTCTCGCATTCTTCATCTTGAATTATTAGGTAACCTGAATTAGGCCCCTCGGGAGGTGTCCCATGAGAATCTGGATATTTTAGGTAGTGAGAAAGAGGCCTCGTTACGTACATATCTGCCAAAAAAAATGCTTTCTTCTCCTTCTTTACTCTGTTCTTTATCAAGTATACTTGGATCTGAACTTCTTTATAGCTATGGATATTTAGAGAAAAGGTGTTGAACAACATATATATACACACGTATAGAGAGCCTTTGAATTCACATTGCTTAGACAATTTGATTTGTCAGTCGGAAACTTCAATGAAATTGGATCGTTAGCAGTATGTCTCAATCTGATTGGTTACAGGATAATGCATGCGAGTATTTTTTTTAAAGATCGACTCGGTTTAGTCATTTCCATTGAAGACGAGAATATTCAACGGGACCCACGGGACACACATGTGCGAGAATTCTTCTCCATTTCTGTTGGTTTTGCTTCTGAAGCTAAACTTTTGGCATCTTCTGCCAAATTTCCACGTTATGTGATTGTGTGGTACAAACTAAATATTATAGACAGACTTTTCAAGGAAATTTATCAAAACGTCTATATCAATATTTTGCAATGAAAAATGGTGACACGTAAACCCGTAGAGAGCGAGAGAGAGAGAATAAAATTAAAGCATTATAACTAGGGCCTGGACGGTTAATTAAACGGTCAACGTGCTCAACGCTTAAGGCGCTCCTAGTCAAGCTTAGGAGAGCATTGACTTTTTTTTTTTTTTAATAATTTTAAATTTTTAAATTTTTTAAACTTTTAGCCAGTTGGATTGAAAGACCTAACAAGTTGGTTATTCACTTATTGATTCACTAATTTATAGATAGTATCTCCAAAGATTTTGTTGTAAACTTTCGATGTAGGATAATAATTTTTTTTTTGATTTGGTGTAGTGTATTGTACGATTATATAAATAGTTATTTATATTTTATTAAATTAATTAATCATTTTTCATATCTTTTACTAATTAATAAAAATTAAAAACTCTCTAAATATTTTCAATTAGAACTATTATAAGATATTTTTTATTTGTATGTATTATTAAATGATTTTGAGATCGACTAAAAATTTTAAATAATGTTAAAATAAGAAAATATTTTTTTACGACTAAACCTCGCCGAACCCGAAAATTGACATCCACGCTTTACCACACAATCCTAGTTCACATACTTTGGTCCATGACCTCAATGGAAATATGGAAGGGTACAAGTATTTAAACCTATTTTTGGAAGAGATTCGTACTCCATATCCATTTTTGACTTTGCATTTTCAAAAATGTTACTTTTTGAAATTTTTTGCAAAAATATCACACTTGAATTTTTTTACTACTCTAGAAAATTTAAATTGCAAATTTATCTTTAATTATTGTTGATTTGATTAAATGAAAAATTGTATAAATAATAGATAAACATCACATCAAACACACCCTCCATCCACACTTTCTAGATCAAACCCTACCATAAAACCCTACCCACTTCCATCTTTAGTCTTTCGTCTCGCCTTCCAATTCTCTCCTCTCGTCTCTTCCTCAACGGTGATCGACGCCGACTTCCTTAGGCCAACCCCAACCTACGAAGCTCTAGTGTGATTGATAGCTCAAAATCCAAAAGGAAAAAGAAAAAGAAAACCAAAATTACAGAACCCTCATATCCATCGTCATCAATATCGTCATCAAATAATTGTTCTTGTATATCGTCATTTTGGAGTTCGAAGTAAAATGATCTCAAGATTTTGAAGAAACCTAAAAGAATTTGAGTTTGATTGACCTCGAATTGCAAAAGTACAAAATTAAAAAATATTAACGTTTGTTACTCATAAGATGAACTAAAGGCTGCAAGTGGTACTAATTAAACTACGTGGCAGACAGTTTGGGGGACCCACGCCTTACACAATGACACAGACGACCCAATTTATAAAGGCAACCCTGTTAAGATGTATACGAGCCCCTTCTCCCCCATTGAACAAGACTGGACCGACCCCATTTTAGGCAGACTCCTAATGTAGGAACCGATCTTGATGAGGCGATTGCAAGATCCTCGACAGATCTTGTGTTGAATGATTGACAAAACAATTCATTGTCATCGTCGCCTCCGCACACCTATATGGTCAAATCAAAACTGCCAAGCTAGATACAAAAGTGGCCCTAACATTTAATGTCTTGGTTGATTGATGTATGCGACAAGAAAGATCAATCGGTTTGATGAGCCCACATGCCTTATCATCCGACGGGTCTCGATTATCTTGCTTAAGTATAAAATCTCACCTTAGTGCCATTCACATGTAATGTAAGTTTAGACGCTCAAAGCTATATTCTTGCTACATAAATTTTTCATTATTTACTCACAAGTCGACCCCCTTTTTATTGATTGGAGGCTCACGTTCAAAGCTCTCACACACCCTAAATTATTTCCCTAACTAACTTGACCGTCAGAATGCGTGCGGCTCCATCAACCTCCTAGAGAAGGCCACGTGTAACTAATGGTTTGTCCAAGTATGCAAGAATCCAGCTTGCGTGAACGTGAGAGGCTTTGGAATCTGTTGACCACATCATTGGTACATTTTCTGGGGTCAACAGATTGTCGCCTTATGTGGGAAGTTTGATACCATAACCACAAACATCCTTGTGGTAAAAGCCATCTGAAGCAAAACCTTGGAGAATGGCTAGGTCCTTGAAGAAAGGATAGCCACAAAGAAAAAAATCAAAGATGCCTACTTTTAACTCAAAGTCGAACATTCGCTATGAGTTCCAGCCACCAAGGAACGCATGGTGGAAATAGGCAGCAAGAGGCCTCTGAAGAAGAGGTCCTCCGCACAAATGTGAACATTTATGGCATCCATCACCAGCACAGGCGAGGCATTACCACAACACGCTTAGTCAGGGAAGTATGGGAAATAGCTGCAAATATGATAAACATGACACAATAGAACGCTGTCATGCAGCAGTTATTCATGCAAATGCACCAATAGGCAGGAATCCTAGACGCTTCGACATAGAATGTTTCCCAAGAGATCAGGATAATGACACAACAGCATACCCTCAAATGTATGGCATGAATGACAGCCCAACGGAGAAGGAGTGGAAGTAGATACCTCCACCAACTACGTTACAAGCCACCTGGTGCTAACATGCTATAGGAGGAAAACTTTCCACCATAATACACTCAAGAGCATAAACCTCAAAGGTCCACAGCATTTTCAATTGGATTGGACCCTCAAGTCCTAGAAATAGGTCTCATCAGCCACTTCCTATACAAAGAGGGTAAGAACAATACCAAGAATATGAACCTCAGGGGATTCGACCTCTGATAAGAAATAGGCGAGAGAGGAGAGACGAAGGGAACTTGATGAAGAACGTCTTAACCCCCTCGTTATCAGGCAGAGGAAAATGCATCTGATGGTCCATGCAGATCATTTGAGTTGGATGATGATGACGAAAGCTTGCCCTTCTCTCAAGAGTTGAGAAGCGCCTCGATTCCAGGTCACTTTGTGCTCCCAAAGATATCCAAATACGAAAGGAAATGTGATCCGACAAAGCACATCAACAACTATAAGACCCACATGTCTCTACGAGGAGCCTCACCAACGCTAAAATGCTGAGCTTTTCATCTCACACTAACGGGGGCTGTAGAAATTTAGTATAGCCACATCCCAGCTGGCAGCATCAGGAATTGGCCAGACCTTGAAAAGGTATTTCTAAACAGTAGATGTCTAATAAAGAAGGCAAAGCCCTATACAAAGGTTGCAAGACATGATGCAGCAGGCAAGTGAAACCTTGAAAAGCTACTTGGCACGCTTCACAGATGAGATGACCTATTGCGAACATGTTACGGATAGCGAGGCCTTTTCTGCTCTAAGATAAGGCCCCAACATGAACACCTTGTTCTGGAGAGACGTGCAAAACAAAAAATCTCGCTTCTTATGATGCCTTAGTGGAAATGATGAGAATCGAAATTGTTAATGAGGAGTTGATTGATCACCGCAATAAAACCTCATTGGGACTCCCACTACCTCAAGGACAGAGAAAAAGCCATGTATCTCACTTGATAGACCATCAGTGGACCCAAACGAGACACACGATAGCCCCACCTTAGGCCAAACGTTGGCCACAGCCACGCTACATGCAGTACCCTCTTTGGTGTATGAAGAGGTTGGACCTAAGGCTCAAAGGCAGCCAATCCATCCAGGGAAGAGGCAGAGGGACAAACAGGGAGCCTCGAGATAAGTAATACTGCACATATCATCGAATTAATAGCCACGCACTAAGAATTGCTTGTCCAGGCCATATCATTAAAAACCAACTAGCCCCCGCATCGAGGTAGAAGTGCCCATCAAGCGCAAAGAAGTGCACCCCAGCCAAGGCGAAAGAGAGAGCCTAGGCATAACGAGGGGAAGCGACACCGCAGGAATGAATCGCCTCGGCGAGAGCACAATGGAAGACGAAAACAGAACAAAATGGTAAAAGCCCAGGAGAGAGCCTCCGGCCAATGCTGATAATACCTCCATCAGAGAAATTTTCACTATCATAGGCAGATATGGAGGATTCCAAGAATGCTCAGACAAAATACGCGAGATAAGCAAATGACCTTTCCATGACGAGCTACCTAATCAATAGCACTAGCCGCGGATCCGGTAAAACCTCACCAATAACTTTCTCTCTGGCAGACGCTGTGGAGGTTTATTATCCCCACAGTGACACACTGGTGGTACGAGCCGTCGTAGCTAGGAATGGACTAAGGCGCATGTTGGTGGACAATAGGAGTTCCGTTAATATCATGTTCGGTACCACCTTTGACAAAATAATGGTAGATCATGAGCTCGTCCCCATGACCGCTCCTTTATATGGTTTTACTGGTGACGACATTATCCCTAGATGAAGGATCACACTGGCAGTATAAATGGAAGAACCTCCATTTAAGGCTCATCACTTTATGGAGTTCCTCATTGTACACCATCGATCTACCTACCACGGAGTATTAAAGTGACCCGCTTTAAAAGAACTCGAGGCTGTAACATCCATACATCATTTATGTATGAAATTGCCCACTAAGGAAGGAATGTCACGGTGCGAGGGGATCAGAT